GACTTATTTGTTCCAAAAAAAAGTCCAATGACTTAATCATTCCAAACAAGAAAGTCCATTGGTTTTTATTGTACTTTTCCTTTTTTTTATACTTGAAACCTCACGGTATTTTTGTTGTGAAGGTTCGGTTTTTTTAGCAGTGGCGGATCCATACTATCATGGTTGGAGGCATACTTAGGAGTGTCGAAAAATCTCGAAACCGAACAATTCGTCCAAACCAAAAAAAGGTTTCGGGTTTTCATTTTTGGCTTAAACGGTTCTATTAACAGAATAAAGATAACTTATTTCGTTTGATTTTCAGATAAATTTTTTTACTATTTTAGTTAAACCGACACATTGTACTATAATATTCTCTACAGTTTATACTTAAAACAAGTAAACACATTACCCGCTAAATAATAACACTTTAGGTTTGAGTTGAGTTCTAAGAAGAAGTATGTATGTGTTAAGTTGAGGAGTTGTTTATTGAGTACCAAAGAATATGAAATCGAACCAATTAAAAGTATGATGTTTATCATAGTTGGGGGCCTTTTATTTTGGTGTTGGGTCCCAATAGCAAACACTAAATAGAAAATAGGACCTCAACACCAAAATAAAAAATATTTTTTTAATCAATTCTGAAGGATTTTGTTGGGGGCCTTTAACCCCTATGAGACTCATGTGCATCCGTCCCTGTTTTTTACCTTCACAGTATTTTGTTATGAAGTCTCAAGTATAAAAAAATGATCTCATAGGTAATAACTTCAACCTTAAAGTTTTGTTTCACATTATATTTTTCCATCTAAGTATAATATTTAGTGTATTGATTAACATATACCTATTTTACGGAATTTAATCTTTTGAGAACCTCACAAATTATAAGATCCGGGATATCCCGTGTTAGCCATCCAATTTAGTTACTTAATTATACTTCTTTAATTAATAATTCAGGGTAATTTTGTAACTTTTTAATATGGATGACAACTCACCAATTTCATAAATTGAAAACACTAACATACTCCTATCCTCTTCACGTCTCCTAAGTTCTTCACGCGTCCTAAGTTCTTCATACTCGCCTCTTTTTTTCTAGCATCACTGCCTCTGTCTTTTAGGGTCCAATTGCTGGTGATAACAACGATGCTCCTGTAAGTTTCTCCACCTCTACAATGGTGTTGTTGCCACCTTATTCAGTGGCTAGAATTTCGTTTGAGTTCTGGCTGTAGCTAGATGGAGAAAGACTTAGGCTTGTATGGATTTCAGTTCGAAGTATCAAAGAGTATCTCGTAAGATTGATAATAACAAGAGGTCCTTAGTGGTTGTGGTTTTTGGAGGATTGTTTAAGATTAGGAATCAGATTGTTGGTGTTGTTTTTTATTGTGTTCTTGATAATTGATCGAAGGTTCATTATCGCTGCATTTGATTGTGTGCACATTTTTGAATAGCATCAATTTGGTGAATGCAACGGTTGAGCAACGATGGTGTGCACACTATGCACAATGTGTGATGTCTATTCCATCACATAACCCCCATTTGCAAACTGTGCACGATGCGTTCACAAAAATTGGGATGGTAGTCAAACTTGTTGGGGACGAACAAGGAGAGGTCAGAGAAAAGAGGGAGGAGAAAGGAGAGTTATATATACCCATAATACCCTTTATTCGCTTTTTTTTTTAATTCAACATTTCCATAATTAATAACTTTCTAATTTAATATCATTTAGGGACTTAAAATATACTTCACAATTCCCATAAACTGTCAAGTTTTTAAATAAAGACACCTTTTTATTTTACAATGTATTTGTTTCATATGTATTCGGTTCACAATATAAATATTAACGTGTAATTTTTGTTTCACAAATACGACAAAAAGATTCACATTTTGTGTTGAGTACATGTGAAACAATCACATTGCAAAACAAATGTATGTTAATCAATATTCAAAATCCTAGTCTTATATGAAAAAAATCATATGAAATAACACATGATGCATCAATTCTCAAGGTTATCACAAATTAATAGGTTCTCAAAAGAAGGTTTCCTATATAGGGTTGAGTTCCGGTAAGAAGAAAAAGTTATGGTAAAAAACATAAAAAAGGATCTTCACCCTTGAATCAAACTAAACAACACGAATTGATCACTTCTCTTCTAAAGCGCAATTCATGGTTGGACATGAGATTAAAAACGATCAAGAGTTCAGATCTCTTCTTACGTTTCTCATCATAACTTCTTCTCTCACACGATCATTCGCTCTATACACACACACAAACACACACACACACACACACACATATATATGGGGGGTTGGGTTTCAGTGCGAAAGAGAGATAAGGTGAAAAACGTAAGAAGAGATCTTCACCCTTGGATGCACATTAGGATGATATTTACCGAGATGAGATGCACCGAGATACACTTGATCAGTCCCCGTATCGAACACGATTCATGAGCAGGTTTGAGATCAAAATTAATCAAACATCCAGATTTTTTATTACACTTCTCACCTTAACAATTTCACTTGCATAATTACGTATATATCGTGATCGAATTGAAGTGGATTTGTTCAAGGGAGTCTCCTCTGATTCCTCTCTTTAATTAATGGTTCAAGTACCCATATGCATGCCTCGTAAAATTTAAAGAAATTGTTTGATTATGTTTTCAATTAATTATACGTTTGAAATAATTTTTAACATCGTCCATATATCAGTTCTTCGTATCTATCACACTACGATGTTATACTTTTCGACATCGTCCCACAACCGAAATCCACACATAGAGAGAGAGACTTGTAACCATAATGAATTGATTGGTATAGATTCATATGTGTTTCAGTGTGCGTCAATTCATTTATGATATATAAATATTAGAGTGAACCATGTCTTTTTTGTCCTTATGATCAGTTGAAACTTGCAATTCTCATCATTGTGTTTTTGAAATTATCGTTTCCGTTCTTGTAGTTTACATTTATTGTTGTTTTCATCAATGAGGTTTGTAGTTTATTGTCGTTTTCGTCGATAATGCGTAACGCTAATTAAGCCATTGACGAAGTTAATCTCAAGAAACGAAAAATCAATCAATTTTAAACCACAGGATGAAAATCGTAATTTCATAAACATAGTAATAAGAGTTACAATTTTTAGCAAACCATAATGATGAATAAGATAGTTTACTTTAAACATTATATACTTAAAAACATTATTTATTCAAACTATATGCTATTTTCCCCACCATATATCAGTTAATTATACTTACAGAAGCTCAAATAAGCAAAAAGGACACAAAGGACCCCAAATGAACATGTAGCCAATCTCAAACTGGTCCTCAAAACTTTTGGCATTTTTTACCAGGTCTGGTAATTAGTTACTGAAAAAATCTCTGATATTGCTTAACTAACTGATTCTAAATCAGTTAGTCAGTTACTACAGGTCTCTGTCTTAAATGGGTCCAGTGATCCGGTCTTAATTGGCCATTTTTAATTAGATGGATTTGAATTCAGAATTTAATTATTACAAAGTAAAATTGTAAAGGAAAATGAATTGGTAATAAAGTTAGGGGAAGTTTGGCAATTAATGAATGGTTTGATGTAGAATGATTAAGTGACTCTCATAATATAATGTAAAATGAAATATAATTGTTTGGTAATTGTGTACACTGAAATTACAGCTCTTAATGGCTAAGAGTGATCCAAGATACAAAATCATTCAGAGAGTCTTAGAACCATTAAGAGATACTTTTTTTTGTCAAACAAGATTCACCTCTTAACGATTCAGATGTTGCCTTTTAATATAACTATTAAGAAATAAACAAACAACCCCGTTAAAATAAAGGGATAAGAAACGGTTAGGGGTAATTAATTGAATGAATTATTAAAGGAGGTGAGGGGCTTTCTAGTTACTAAATAAGCTTGGACCTCATAGACCGGCTTATCATTGTAGGGACCCAACTAACATGGGGGGTTCAGTGAGTTGTATTGACAACTTCTCTCATACCAACTAGGGGTGGCATAAAATGACTCAATTTGTTAACCCAACTTTAATTCAACCTAGAATTAGCAAGTTGGATTGAGATTTTCAATCCATTTTAATAAATGGGTCAATTCGTCTAATCCATTTAAAATAAATAGGTTGGATTGGGTTGAATTTTTCGACCTGTTTATAACTCATTTAAAATATTATATAATTTTATTTTATTCTTAATATTATATCTAGTATTCTAATTTTTTATTTTGTTTTTAATTAAAAATTCTATTGTCGCGAGTTGAAAGTTCAAATCCAATCGCCTCTATTACTCTTAATCATTATGAAACCCTAAGAAAATCATTTAGTCCATTACTCCATTATAGTCTCCAAAGTCCAATCCAACTCTTCAATTCTGTTGTCCTCCTCTCGATCTCGGCTCTCTCTTCGTGCAACGTTTTTCTTCCTCTTGGCTCTCTCTCCGTCCAGCATTTGTCTAATTTTTTAATTGTCTCCCTCTCGGGTTTCTCTCCTTTTTTTATTTAAAATGTTAAAATTAAATGGGTCAACGCAAAAATAACCCATTTATTTAACACACCAGATTAAAAAAAATCATAAACAGATCAACCCGTTGTAATCAACTTCAACTCAGAGCCGAGACTTGGACATCTAGACTTTCAAAGAATTTATGGAAAGTGAATATTATTGCATAGTTAGGCAACTTATTTTAATTATTTCAATAATGTTTGGTATTTTGTAACGTTTATCGAACTAATTTCAAGCATCTGGACACTTCCAAGCATTTCAAATTATATATATATATATATATATATATATATATATATATAATATCATATTATTTATTTTAATAATAAAGAAAAATAAAATGGTAAAGTGGTTCATGTATATCGTATTCAATATAAACGGTTTTTTTATTTCATACAACATTTCTTTTTAATAAAATAATCAATTTTCAAATAATATCCCAAAGGACAACAATTATGCAGATCACATGGTGGGTCCACGTAGTCAATCACGTGTTGTTGGGTCCCACTCTATTTAATATGCTGTCTTTCCTTTTTTTTTCCAATTTTTTCAACACTCGCTGCGGTGATTTTACTATAATAATTTAAACATATTTATTAAATTAAAATATTGCATTTTTTCAAAAGAAAATTTAATTACACCACAAAAACGATATAAAAAATTTAAATTAAATTTAAAATCACGTTTCAAGTTTACAACCATTCAAGTAAAAAGCGTTTACGAAACAAATCGGACGATAAGTTTGAAACCGACCTTCACCCAATTAAAATGTGATTCTTTTCGATTTATTAGAGACAATATAAATTTTAGATGTTGATGTAAGAATTATGAATATTCGTTTCGAGTTTTAATTTAATATTAAAATATATTTATACGAACCGAGATGTAAAACAAGATGAAATTATCGCATTACACTCTTAATAATTTTACAAGCTCAACTTTTATGCTAATGACAAAATTATATTTTATATATATATCGTATTTATACATCTTCCATATCCATAGAACTTGACCCGACCCGACCCAAACATGGATCAGGATGGAGATCAAGATTCAAGGTTACTACTTTTATAAACACAAAAAAAGTTCATTGGTAGTGGTGGAGCTTTAGGGGTGGGTCCACCTTTTTTCATCAGCTAATGCTTCTGTGCAAAGCTGTTAACCAGTGCTAGAGCATTGCTTGTAACATGCGCAACATTGGTGATCTGTGCCCGAACCGAAGTCTTGATCCGACCCTCCATTGCTCGACCTCCGAACCCATCCATGCACGTGTTCTCGTCGGTCAGAGCTGAGCTGACCCAGGTCTGAACGTTACTCATATGCCAGATGAACTCCTGACCCTTGACTCGGTCACAGTTCTTGAGTTCCTGAATCGATTTGCTGACTCGCTCCAAACTGTCACTCACTTCCTCCAAACAGTCTCCGATGGCAGATCGTTCACGGGGCTTCAACCCTTTGAATCTTTTGAGCTTATTGAGATAAGCTTGGGTGGACTGGGAATGTTTCAGGCTGACGGCCAAAGCGGTGTGGGCTAACTCAGCGGGGCTGCGGTTGATGGTTTGGGCGAAGGGGGAAAGAGATTGTTCGCATAAGGCAGGGTAGGTGACGGTGGCGCAAGAGGTTTTGATGAAGGTGGAGGAGGGTTTGACGGCGGCGGAGGTGGCGGTTCCGGCGAGGTAGAAGACGGCGAGAAGGAGGAGTGGTAGAGCTGTTTTGGAATCCATTTTGTTGATAAAGTGGTAGTGAATGAGGTGAGATTGTGCTTAGGTGTGGGGTGGGTATTTATAGTGGTGATGTAGGGTTTGGGTTGGGAAATGCACCAATCCAGCATTGAATTACGGGTACTACAGTATACTGAAGTTGGTCTTTTTCTACCATCGACTTAATTTGTTTCACACGCTAAATTAGAAAATACACACCATAATAATATATAATAATAACAAACATTAAAAAAAATATATAATAACGTTATTATTTTAGTTTTTTTCAAAATAAATATTTATTTGACTGTACGAAATTTTTCATGCATTTAGTCCTCGAACCAAACAATCATCGAATGAGTCCATTAAATTTAAAGGTAAAATGGTATATTTCCTATTTTTTTTGTACTTCTAATATTTTCTTAATTAAGCTATTAAATAAGAAGCCAAAATGTATGAATTAAATTTCGACGGCTACATTTTAAAAATCCATAAGACTCATCTTTTGTCTCTTTGGTCACCTGTCGTGATCCTCACTCTTGTTCTTATTTCGTCGCCCGCAGCCACCACCTACCAAGGAAAAACCCAGATGGCTCGTGCCACCGTATTGCTCATCCATCGTAATGTAGATCATGAAAAGTGTCACTGTATTAATATGTTGTGTGTTACTGTTTGTTTTTTGAAAATATAACGAGAACAAGTTTTCTTGAGTACAGTTCGTTTGTAAAGTTTTTCTTCCATCCCGGACCCGAGTTCAAATCTTGTTATTATCATTTTTTAGTCAAATGGTGTCATAGTTTGAAAATATTTATCTATATTTGTTTCTTATATTCAAATAATATGACTGTTTAGAAAAATTCCTAGCTCTGTCCTTGTCCCAGCCACTTGCACCAACCCGCTACCATTTCTTCCTTTCTTCTTCCATCCGTAGCTACAACAGTAAACCACCAACACACTTCCACCCTTTCTCCATTTTTGCTTCTTTGCAACACCCAGAAAATTGAGCCCCCTGGCCCCTTGCTGCTTGCACCATCTCTGGTTCTTCACTCCACCGTTGAAAACCAGACAATAAACTGATGGAGTATTTCAGTTGAAGGTTGAAGAATTCAAATAAAGTTGACTGGGGCAAGTCAAGTGGTGCTCTACCCACGTGATAATACCGAGTCTTAAGCTATTCCAGTATTTTTCCTTTTTCTTAGCTATAGTTGTTATTCAGTTGTTTTTCTTTCCTTGTATTTATAGCCGGTTTGGCCTTTTTCAAATGGTATCAGAATTCAGTAAGCAATACCCTTGATTTCATTTATCATTGTGGTATCAGAGCAGAATTTCGATCACCAAAAGAAAGAGAGACAGAATGAACGACGATAAGTTGAAAGTGCCAGTTTTCGATGGGCATTACGAACACTGGAGTGAGATGATGGAGAATTTGCTGCGTGCAAAACAGGTGTGGAACTTGATCAATCCAGGAATTAAAGAACTTGTGGTTGGTGTTGCCCAGAGTGAAGGAGAGAAGAAGAAGTTAGAAGAACTGCGAATGAAAGATCTGCAGGTCAAACATTACATGTACCAAGCAATCGATAGGGTAACGTTTGAGCAGATTTTGGATCGAACAACTTCCAAGGCGGTGTGGGAATCCATGCGGAAAAGATTCGCAGGAAACGATCGGGTGAAAAAGTCGATGCTGCAGAAACTTCGAAGAGATTTCGAGGTTCTAGAGATGAAGACGAATGAAACGATACCGGAGTATTTCGGTAGGGTTCTGACGATCTCCAATCAAATGAGGAGCAATGGAGAATCAATGACAGATGTCAAAATCGTTGAAAAAATTCTTCGAACTCTGACTGAGAAGTACATGTACGTGGTAGTATCGATCGAGGAATCAAAGGACATTGATCAGATGTCTATAGAAGAATTGCAGAGCACTCTAATTGTTCACGAACAGAAGTTCAAGAAGAATGAACGAGAAGAGGAGCAAGCACTGAAAGCAGTGACAGGTGACAGCTCCAATACTAGAGGACGTGGTCGAGGGCGTTATAGTTACAGAGGAAGAGGACGTGGTCGAGGGCGACAATCTTTCAACAAAGAAACCATCGAATGCTACAACTATCACAAACTAGGGCATTATTCTTATGAATGCCCAAACGCGAAGGAATCAAACTATGCCGGTTTTGACAAAAATGACGAAATTATGCTCATGGCTGATGGAGGTATAGAAGAGAATGGATTTATGGCCCAGATAAAGAGTGAGGGAAAAGGTCTGCTATGGTTTTTGGATTCAGGGTGCTCGAATCATATGTGTGGAAACAAAGAGAGGTTTGTAGATCTGGATCAAAGTTTCTCTAACACTGTTAAGCTTGGAAACAATACACGAATGGCCGTAGAAGGAAAGGGGAACATAAAGTTGGTTCTAAATGGGGCGACGTATGTGATCAAAGATGTATACTTTGTACCGGAACTCAAGAATAACCTTCTCAGCATTGGGCAGCTTCAACAGAAAGGTCTGTCTTTTCTATTCCAATCCGACATTTGCAAAGTTTTTCATCCAGACAGAGGATTAATTGTTCAGTCTATCATGAGCACCAATCGCATGTATCCTCTTAGTGAAGATGCTAACGAGACCATTGAGCAAAAGACAGACGGGTGCATGTACTTAAGTAATGATGATATTGCCAAGTTATGGCATGAACGTTTAGGGCACATCAGCAAGACTGGAATGAAGATTCTGCAACATAAAAGAATGGTACGTGGTTTACCCGAATTTATTGTTGATACGTCTGTTTGTGAAGATTGTATGATAGGAAAACAGACAAAGGAGGTCATACCAAAGTCAAGCCCATGGCGTGCAGGAGAGATATTGGAGTTGATACACTCCGATATATGCAGGCCAATAACGCCTATTTCACATACCGGAAAGAGATATTTCTTGAGCTTCATCGATGATTATAGTCGGAAGGGCTGGGTTTATCTGTTAACAGAAAAGTCACAAGCTTTTGAAAGCTTCAAAGACTTTAAAAGCAAGGTTGAAACAGAAACAGGCAAGGTGGTTAAGGCTCTTCGAACAGACCGGGGAGGAGAGTATATGTCTAACGATTTTGACAAGTTTTGCAGAGAACATGGAATCAAAAGGCAATTGACCACGAGTTTCACGCCCCAACAGAATGGAGTCGCAGAACGGAAGAATAGGACGGTAATAAACATGGTGGTTACCTTACTTTCTGCCAAAAACATGCCGAAGATTTTTTGGGCAGAAGCAACAGCTTGGAGTTTTTATGTGTTAAACAGAAGCACAACCAAAGCACTTTCAGACGTTACTCCACAAGAAGCCTGGAGCGGTTTGAAGCCAACAGTCAATCATTTCTGAATTTGGGGATGTCTGGCTCATGTACATGTGCCTAAGGATAAACGAACTAAACTAGGCAACAAGAGTTGTGTTTGTGTTTTGACAGGTGTAAGCGAAGAGTCAAAGGCTTATAGACTTATTAATCCAGAAACCATGAAGGTGATAATAAGCAAAGACGTGATATTTGAAGAGCACAAAGGCTGGAATTGGAATCAAAGAAAGGAGGTGCAGACCGTAAAAGAAGAACTGACATGGGGAAACTATGATTTCATTGATGAGGATTACATTCTCATCGATGAACATGGTACTGAAACACAAGATTTGGTGGAGCCGTATCAGCCGACAACGGAACCGGTTCCTAGTTCTACATCAGTAAGGGAGGGTAGACAGCGCAAAACTCCCAGCTATCTTCAAGACTACGTCACCGGTGACGACTTAGACTCAGATTTGGACGAATTAAATGCAATGGAGATAGTCCATCACGATCCAGTTCACTATGAGGAAGCAGTCAAAGAATCCAAGTGGAAGATAGCAATGGATCGTGAAATCGAGATGATTGAAAAAAATCAGACCTGGTGTCTGGTTGAGCTGCCGAAGGATGCCAAATGCATTGGTGTGAAGTGGGTATTTAAAACCAAGTTGAACGAAAGGGGCGAAATTGACAAGCACAAAGCGAGACTGGTGGTTAGGGGCTACGTGTAACAACCCGTCCCACATCGGTTGGTGAGGAGAATAAAGCACTCCTTATAAGGGTGTGGATGCCTCACTTAGCAAGACCGGTTTTGGGTGGGATACGAACTTCGGTTCATGCCCACGCCAGAAGAAAACCGTGCGACTACCGTGACCGGTTAGGTGCGGGTTAGTCAAAGCGGACAATATCTTGCTACGGGATTCTGGGGGCGTTACAAATGGTATCAGAGCCAGACCCGGATCGATGTGGCCCAACGAGGACGTTGTATCCTAACGGGGGGAGGGTGTAACAACCCGTCCCACATCGGTTGGTGAGGAGAATAAAGCACTCCTTATAAGGGTGTGGATRCCTCACTTAGCAAGACCGGTTTTGGGTGGGATACGAAYTTCGGTTCATGCCCACGCCAGAAGAAAACCGTGCGACTACCGTGACCGGTTAGGTGCGGGTTAGTCAAAGCGGACAATATCTTGCTACGGGGTTCTGGGGGCGTTACACTACGGTCAGGAATTCGGAGTTGATTACATGGAAGTATATGCGCCGGTAGCAAGAATGGATACGATTCGTTTGATGCTTGCTCTAGCAGCGCAAAAGGGCTGGAGCATTTATCAAATGGATGTAAAATCCGCATTTCTCCATGGAACATTGCAAGAAAACGTGTACGTCTAACAGCCGCAAGGTTATGTAGTGAAGAATAGCGAACATAAGGTGTATAAGCTCCAAAAGGCCTTGTACGGGCTCAAACAAGCCCCTAGAGCTTGGTACAGCCGCATTGAAGCTTATTTCGTCAATGAAGGGTTCATAAGGAGCAAATCAGAACATACATTGTTTATAAAAAGGCAAGCAGGAAATAAACTACTTTTTGTGAACATATATGTAGATGATTTGCTCTTTACAGGAAATGATGAGAAGCTGATGGAAGATTTCAAGGTTTCTATGAAAGCTGAGTTTGAGATGACCGATTTGGGAAAAATGAGGTACTTCCTGGGAATTGAGGTCATACAAAACCCAGCAGGTAT